GAGTTCTTTGTGGTACTTGATCCCAAGTTCTCTTCAAGCGAGCAATAGGCGCTGTTCCGAGAGCTGAGATGATTGAGGTTAGGGTGGAAAAGTTGTTGAGACTGCGGCATTTCTGTGGACTGTTAGCTTCAAAGTTCATCCATGGTAGTAGGTTTTACTCACGTCGGCGACAGAAACGAAGTGCTTGATCACGATCACACGCTTCTTCACATCCATCTGAGCCAAGATCATCTCCGCCACCCAATTCGTCATTTGGTTGGAGTGCAGAATGAGAGCCTTGACATTGGGTGCCGGTTCCGGTTCTCCTTCGCCCACCTTCTTTTGCCATGTCTTGTTAAGACATTCCGTGGGCTTAATCTTTCCATAGAGCCTCGACTCGATTATGGTGAGCTGGCGAGCGAATTCCGTGACATCGATATCCAGGAACTTGAGCTTCTTCATGTTCTTGGGCATGATGGGCGATGGCGTATTTTGGTTGAGCGTCTGGACCATACGGCGAGCTCCAGCTTGTTGACCACTGAGCCGTTGGTCCAGGACTGCCATTAGTGGCGCAGAGCCTGGTGTCTCTGTAGACTTGACCGTGTCCCTCGCGAAGGTGTAAACATCTCGGATGAGCTGCTTCGATTCCTCGTTATGCTCTTCCATCCAGAAGTTATCGAACCAACTCTTCAGAATGTTGACGACACGGAAGCGAATGAGTTTCTGTTTCCTGTCTCGCCAGGCCTCGAAATCCGATTGTGAGAGACCTTCAGGTGGCTGAATACCAAAGCGATTGACAATCAGTTTGAAAAGATCTTGAGCGGTTGTGAAGGACCTGTATGTGAGCAGGAAGGTGTTGTTGAAGTTCGAGTCAAGCTTGTCGTGTCGTGTCAGTTGCTCGACGAGCGCCTCCAACGTACCGCCCTTGACGATGGGCGGCGTCAGCTTGTTGTCCCAGGCAAGATCTGGCTCATGGTCCAGTTTAAGGAACTCGGGCGTATCATCAACAGGAGGCATGTTGCTCTGAGGGTTGGGGTCGTCACCCAGAATTTTCTTAACCTTTGAGTAGTCGCCTCCTCGAAAGTTGCCAGTGGTCTCTCCCTCGGTAAAGGATTGTGAAGTGATCATTGGGGGTCGCGATGCTGAGGGAGTGGTTCGTGATTCCGTGCGCTGATGGGGTCTGTCGTACGGAGCAGTTTCTCCCCGACGGAGTTGTTCGCGCTGCATAGCGTCTTCTCTCTGTCTCGAATCGACTTGTTGCTGCATGTTAATTTGCACCTGTTCAGACAACAGCTGTAATGAAAAGCCGATGTGCGAGGAATTCGTCTCGAGGGCCTTGGCACATTGTCGGACATAGTCCAGTCGGTTCTCGAGGGCCTCGCCTCGAACCTCGGCCCATTCGTCAGCCAGGGGCCCGGCCACGGCCTGGCACCCTAGCAGCAGGTCTGACATGTTGTCATACAGACTCTGCTTGTTGGCGGCGAAGTCTGCCAACTGGGGCGTTTGGAAACTGTTGCCGAGGGATGAGAGGTCGATAGACTCGATGAGTGCAACCCAGGGCTTGAACGTCTCCAAGACCTTGCCTCCAGCCAAACAGACATTGTTGCCAATAACTTCGTGCTTGAAAGGTGAAGTGATCTTGTCCGCCACAACCAAATTCTTGTCCAGTTCTCTTATGCTGAAAACAAGCATCCGTTTGAGCTCGTCCAATCTCTCGAGCTGCTTGCCATCTAGAATTGCCGTGGGCTCGACCACGCCCTCCTCGTCTTCCAAGAAATTCGCAGTGATGGGATCGCGGGTCCCCAGTCCGTTATTCTGCCAGCTGCCGCCAGTAGAACTTCCGATGACAAACCCAGGGAAAAGGCGCGGAATCTCCTCTCCTCGTTGTTGGCGGGCAATTTCGACATAGCTGAAAACGCCAAGTAGCACTCCATCGGCTTCCTGGAGACACTTCTGTACAGATTCGGCATTGGGCCAGTCAGCAGCAGCGATGTGAGATGAGATTACGAGCTTCGAGAATTTTGACATCATGTCTCTGAAATGAGGATAAAGGGCCTTGTTCGTAGAAATAATGGAGGGCTGGCCGGAGTGATTATCGGTCGTGCCAGATCCAGCAGCTAAAAGTAGTCTCAGGTGGTCTGAGATGTCCTCTGCGCGCGCAACATATTCGGAACGGTTGCCACTGGTAATGGCATCGCGATAACGGTCAACAGCTCGGCGCATGTTGGAAACCAGGCGTGTCCAGGTTAGCGGTGGTGCTGAGCCATCATCGAAGAAGGAACGAGGCACGGTGCTGGTGGGCGGCGTGTTGTAAGAAGTGCTGGTGAACGAGGTCGCCGATGCAATCATTGGGGTTGCGTTGGGTGCCAAGTTCGGGTTCAGGTACGTGCCGTCTTTCTGCCGGGTGACAGGTGCGGCACCGTTCATAGAGTCCATCGAAGTGGAGGGTGAGAGCATTTCGCTACGAGACCGACGATTACGAGGCTATCATGCACATGTACAGGTTAGCAAAAGCTCCCCACGGTGGTGCGGGCTTTGCGGCATGCGCTCTTACCAAAGACCCACGAGATGCGAGCATCAAAGACTCGCCCTCCAACTCGGATGCGGAGTTTGCTTCAGAGTCTTCGTCTTCATCTTGCGTCAAGCCCCTAGCCATCATCTCTGGTGGTGGCCGTGTCTTCTCGGGGACATTGACGTTTATCCGGTTACGGGGTCCCGTCTCATTGGTAGATACTGGAGACTCCAAAGGCAATTCCATGCTTCGATCGCCCGTCATCATATTGTAGTAAAAGAGGCGCCCGTCGGGGGTTGCTTGCGGGATCCAGAAGTCGGCCCTTGATTTGTCGCCGAGATCCGTGCCTTCGAGCGGGAGGCCGGTAGAGTCGTCCAGCTCCGATTCGTCATCTTCTTCCAGCTGCTCGTCGTAGACCTCCTGGTTGTCCTCCTCATCGTCAACATGGTCAAGGTCGCCGTTCTGGTCATGCTCGGGGATTTCGTCGGGACTCGTAACGATTTGACAGTAGTTACTGGGGAACCAGCCGCGCACACCGTTGATAACACCGTCCCACCATCCGCTTTCCAGCTGTGTTATAACTTGAATAACGTCTCCTTCGTGGAAACTGAGACTCGTGCGGTCGTCGGCCTCGTAATCGTACAAGGCGCGGACGTACATGGTGCCGGGCGGGGCAGTGCCCGCAATACCGTTCATCATGGACGAGGAGGAAGTGATGGCCTGTGAGTAGGGTGAGAAGGCGTGGCCGACGTTGGATTGATCCAACGCCGGTTGGGAAGGGTAGTAGTAGTTGGTAGCGTCGTGATTGAGGTTTTCGCGCGAAGGCTTTTTGCGGGAATTGTAGTTGTTATTCTGACCCTGGAATAGTGCCGGCACTGCGGTCTGTGTCATCAGCATGATGAGGCGGTCGCGCTGATAACCCAAGGAGGGGAAAAGGGTCAAGTCATGATCCGGGCGCGTCTACTCTGTTGTTGCTTGGACCTTTTTTCGGCGGGGGTCGGCGAGGGAGGTTTGTTGAATCGTCAATCGTAAGAAGTCGTGAAGAAGAAAGCAGAAGAAGGCGTAGGTAGTCAGATGGGAGGGAAGCGACAAGTTGTTGAGTTGCAGAAACCCACAATCCAGGAGTCGCAGGTTTGGAGCCGGGGGGGGGTAAAGTTGCGGGGGCGACGTTCGTCTCGTCTGGCAACAGGCGCAGCCGTGTGTCGACGAGGTCGGTGGATTGGATAGGATTGGATAGGCGCAGGCGCTGGTGCCGGCGCTGACACTGAGGTGGACAGTCAGGTCGCTGTCTGGGTCGGTTGTCGCGTTGAAGAATTGGAAGTTCGAGCGAGCGAGCGGTCGCGACTCGGAGAGCTCACTGGTGGGATGAGATGAGAGAAATCAGTCGGCGGGTAGAGATGTGTGGGATGCGAGCGACGATTCGCCGGATATTTTTCTCACGTCGTCGTGTGTGCTGATGCTGGTGGACAGTCGGGACGGGAGGGGGGACTCGGGAGGGGAGAGGGGGCATGAGAAGGAGGATCGCCTGATGAGGGAAGGCCCCCCGAAAGACCAATGTCGCCTAGGCGATCTCTCGGCGGGTGTATCAGACCGTCTCTGTAAATGCCTCCCCTTTCTCACACTCTTCTCTTTCTTCTCAGGGTGCGCGACCTTTAGTGGTTGACGGCCAGTGTCGAATATCGTGCAAGCATCACGGCAACCGTTGGAGGGGTATCAAATGTATAACTAGATAGTAGATACGGATACCTTTGAACAAGGTATGGTGAACAGGTGTCTATCGTCCTCGTCCTCGTGGTCGTTCTCGTGGTGGTTCACTGGAGGTAGTGGTCAATGGCTGTATGTAGGCTGTGTGGGCGGGCTGCAGAGTCGAGGGGATTCGTCTGGCGACAATGGTGGCACGGGGGTCAACGGTAGGGTAGGTACCTGAAGGAGGATATTAAGCGCGATAGTAGGATGTAGTGTCTGTACCTCCAGATGCTTAATAGCCTAGCGATAACAAAGGCATGAAGAAGTCTCTCTGGGGGATGGTCGTTGGATGCCCGCGGTACCTCGATGGCGGAAGCTTAACAGCCCGGGGGGTGGTCAATGAGACGGACGGGACTGAAGGATTGCAACAAGAGGGGGGGGGCAGCCACGCTGCACGGGGTACCAGAATGGGGACCTTCCTCAGGCTTGGTGCCAGTGTAAGCCTAAGCCTGTAAGGTGAAGGGAGGTTAGGTAAGCTGGCTCCTCCCGTCCCGTCTTGTCTCTTTCCCTCGTGCTTTTTCCAGGATCCTGCTTGTCCGTCTCGTTGGGGCGGGTCTTTGAGTGCTCTTCTCAGTCTCTCATTGGCCAAATCTGTACCAACCCCTCCCCCTCCCCCTTGGAGGAAACACAAGGTGAGGAAGTGAAGGACAGTGTGGGTTGAGGTAAGGCAGGGGCATCAGTATGGAAGGCACTTTGGTCAACCTCCAGCCAGAATGAACCGTGAAAGGCGGGCAGAGCTTGAGTAGGCAAGGTAAGCCCGGGACGCGTGTTTGGCATTTAGGTGTCCTCAGCCTGTTGGCGGTTCCCTCCGACCATTGGATGTCTGTGTTTCTTCCCAAACCATGTTTTGAACAAGCAAGGCCGAGTCCGACTTCGTTTGGGTGGGTTGATTTCTCTCTGCGTCGCAAGCTGCGTCCCTGACAATGACAATCGACTTTCGAGATGTCCCTCACTGTACGGAGTATACCATTCAGATTGGCCTATATCTTACCTCAAACTGTCTGCAGGTTTGCTCGAAACAGAGAATCCTCGGTCAACTTTCCCAGCGAAACGCATCTTCCACTGTCCACAATACAGACGGGACGGAACGCAGACACTACTTAGTTTTGCAAACAACGATATCCATATCCCACGAGGCATCCCAAAACACCTTACTTTGCAGCTTACGGAGTACTACTTCCATTAGGTGTCACCTACCTTCCTTGCCTGAGAGAGAGCACCGGACGCAACGGGAGCCGGGAGCTAGGCCTCAGAAAGGACACTGTGCGGTCGGCAGGAGAGAAAGAGTGCAGGGGCCACCATACACCGATGTGGAGCCTGGGCACGAGCTTGACCGACCAAGAAGGAAGGAGGAAGGAGGAGGAAGGAGGAGGAAGGAAGTCCAGGACTAACCCGTCGAAAAGGCAGGTGGACCCCGCCGACCTGTTCAAATTTCACCTCATCTTCCATTTCGACCATTTCTCACACGGCCATCTTCCACCGCACTGTGCTCGGTTTACACTCGACGTTTCCAGGACGACAGATCACTCATGAATCCTCCGAATCCGAGTCCTCGTCTGTTCCCACATTGTGCTACGCGCGAGGGATCGTCCATGGCTTGATGATGCCAAAGCTGTCCATCCCCTCCTGCCACAGGGCAACGAAATGCGCGCGCTATCTACGTGATGATGCTCACCTTGACTCATCCAGGGTATCAAGTGGCATCCTCAAGTGTCCAGTCTCGCTCGCCATCCTGCTGCCCTCGAGAGTCGAGCGCCAACATGAGGTGTGCGCCAGGGACGGTTCAGATCCAGGCGCCGGCCTCAAGACGTTCCATCCCAGCCTGACCTCCTGGCTGCAACTCCAATCAGCCCGCACTCACTCTTCGTCTGAAGATGATGAAGGCGAGCCTGCGTTCACCACCTTGATATATCCCTCCGCGCCTGCCGACGGCTCATCGACTATCCATTGCCGACCGGGAGTAAGATGATGTCGCTGCCGTTGCACTCCGGCAAAGTATAAACCGGCTCACCCTGATCCGCCTTCACCCACTTCGTGTCCGGCCACGACGGCCCGGGAGAAACCACCGAGTGTATTGCAGCCGAGAGGAAGGATATGGGACATCGTATCGCACTTGATCCAAGCTTCGCCGCCGGAACAGCATTCCTCATGACGGCGATCCTGTGTGTGTGTGTGTGATTCCCTCTTGGCTTCTTCGTGTGCGCCGCGCCATGCCGTGATAATCAGCCGGATTGCCCGTTGCTTCGATGCCCATGCGTAATGCGCCGATGATGGGCGGTCATCCAGGACACTCCCACGCCTGACCGTACTCAGTACAAGGCGAGTGTCGGCACCATCGACGCCCTGAATCCAATCGATGAAAAAGGTTACTATGCTTCCGTTAGACGCTGTTGCTTCGTCGTAGTAGTGGATGAGGGAGGGGGGCTGGTGTACTGTACCTTACATCGAGGCCGAAGCAGGCGGGTCGGGTATTCCACTGTCGAGATACTCGGGAGAGCACCATCTCACACGACTCGCTGTGTATCTTGTCTGAGAAAGGTTACAGAATAGCTCCAGAGGGTATGGCTACCTACGAAGTCGAATAATAACGAACCCTCCCTCATCCACGCGTTCGTGAACGGGTTACGGTGCGGGGCGTTCCGTGAGTGAGGGGTGCAATCCGTGAGGAAAGAAGAAGAAGGGAAAAAAAAAAAAAGGGGTCGCCATCCTTTTCCCAGAGAACCCCTCCTGTGTTGCAGATCGGGACGATGTCAGATGTTCTCACGAGATTCCATTGCAACAATGGGCTCGGAACGAACCAGAGGTGATCGGTAGGCCGCAAGGTAGGCGTCCAATGCCAACACAGGTGGTCAGGCCGGGGCCACTGGCAGAGAGGCAACCTGCCATTTTCCAGTGCTTTTTTTTTCTAGAAAAAAAGCACACTTGCGAACCAGAGAACTCGAGCAGTGCGGTTTCAGGTCGTGATTCGTTCATGTTCCGGGGCCTTGGACCGGCGCCGCGATGACACTGACGCCGCTGATCCCACCTCACATCACCTCCCCTCCAGTCCATCGGCTATCCGTATGTAGCGTATGACTGTGATGTGACTTTGCAGATGTGATGTGCAATAGGCCACCCGTGACCCGACGACGCCTTATCAGGAACAAAAAATCCAGTCGTCAGGCACGCCGCACCCGACGTCAGGGAAATACCTACCTACCTACGTGCCTACCTACCTATCCGTACGTACTTCGTACTTTGCCAGTCCGGCTCAATGATCGTCAGGGGCCAGCTGCTCATCGCCTTCAGCCTCCCGCCGTGCCCGCCACAAGTTGCTGATCTGCAAGATGCTCGCTCGTCGGGTCGTTCTTTAGACTCTGTCAATGGTGCATCAGTGACTTTGCGAATCGAGCACGGAGTACGGTTAGATACAAAAGTCACCCAGTATGAAAGTTGCTGGTGCCAGCATTCCCCTTTACGCAAACCACATGTTCTCTTCTCCCTCTTGGCCCGCTACACTTATTCAGGGACCAGCACCGAGACCGCTATGATTGCTCGCCTTACTTTCCAAATCGCCTCACGGAGTCACGGTCTTTGAGAGGCAAATAGAAACTACGGAAACACTAGAAGAAGAAAAAGGTCCAAAGGGGGTACCCGGGACCAGCGGATGCCGGGAGGGGGAGGGGGGGGGGGGGGCATTCAAAGTACCTACGCTGACGCAGTAGGTATTAAGGGTAGTCCAGAAGTTCTGATGGCAACCCTTGAGCATGCTATTAATTAGACAGGCCCACCACACCTCCTCCACCGCGACCGTTCCAACAGCCATCCTGGAGCCCTGGGCCCCCTGGCACAAACGCGGAGCGCAAACAGGCACGCCTGACGCCGCACTGTCAACGGGGAACCGGTTGACCGGAACCCGTGCCGCGGCGCGAGGTGGGCTCTGACTCCCTCCGTGCCCAGGCATGGAGGCGCGCTCCATTTTAGCTGTTCCTAGTGCCCCGCCATCCTGGAGGGTTTCTGAACTCTCTCTAGCTTTTTTTTTCTTTCCTTTCGAACCCCCCCCCCCTCCATACGGATACTTTGGAACTAAATATCTTCTTTGCGATATCCTCGTCCTTATTTAGGGGTAAACACGAAAAAACGAGAGTGAGAACCCGTGGAAGGCGATACGTGCGCCGGGATTGTCCTATAAGCGTTCCCATATGGCAATCGTTGACGGCTCGCCCCAACAACGGCACCCAGCGCCTTACCAACATCAGACGAAAACTTGAAGACTGATAGCACATGGCTTATTATTGCAAAGTCAATAGAGGGGTCAATGAACGAGAGATTCCCGACTCGGCCGTCCCGGTCATGTATTTTGTTCTGGCTTGGCAGGCCTTGCCCTATGCCGAAGCTTCAAATGAAGGGCACCGAAAGCCCGGGTTAGACTGGGTCCTGGGCTCCTGGCGACATGTTCTCCTCCCGGCTTCCTTTCGTTGGCCTGGACCACTTCTGCTTCTAGATCCTCTTCCGGCGTCCGCTCGTAGGGTTAATAGATTGCCAGGTAGGCGGCGGGGACCTGGCTTGCCCTGGGTTAAGTTGGATTCGAAGGGCCCATATATTACAAGAGAGGGACTATTGCAGGTGGTAAATGGAGTGCCGGACTGGGGTGCATGTTAACCTGGTTGAGCGGTGGCCGGAGACGGAGCTGGACCATCGAGGGGAACTCTGACTCTCTGAGCCCGAAGTTGTATGCGATACAGAGTAAGGCAAGTACGGTGTACGATATCCCCTCAAGGTATCGGGATTCTAGATTCCCAATGCGCATATTCGTCGTGGCAGACACGTCAATGCGTTGGGAAATGGCTTTGTCGGTGAGGCCCATTGCTTCCAGATTCATCGATCGAGCCAGCAGCACGTCTCCCAAGGCTAATCTGGCGTGCGCTGACGCCGACGCCGACACCGCGGTGACTTGCGGCGTCAGGGAGAAATGGTCGATGTGAAGCGGGTGATATCGTGAGCGTAAAAGAGAATAGAAGAGGGGATGTCCACTCTCTTGCTGCGACCCAGCAGTCGAAGCGCAAGTGTTGTTAGTTGGCTCCCCACAGATATGACAGGACTTGCCCTTTCGGTTCTCTAACCCTTGAAATTCAACATCTGTCCGCCATTTCGTGTACCCACTCCGACATTTCGTCGTTCGAGACCGACAAGGTGAAAGACGCGCTTACAAGGACTCACCGCATCGTTGGTGCTTGACAGGCGATGGGATGCCCCTCTATCTGTAGAGTCCAGGGCTCTGTATCCGTACATACTCGATAGGGACTCGGTTGAATGTGCGCTTTTGTCCCTGCAGTTCGAGGGCCCCGGAAGCGCCAGTTCACGATATCGACGGGGGGTGCTTGAGGGCGGTGACGCCCGGAACGGTGAACTGTAAGTACAAGCGAGCGAGCGACGGACCTTGCAAGGTCTAGGATGACAGTACCCGTAGCGCAGCATGATGCGTGACAGCGAATTCTGGGTCATCATCCATGGGTTCAGACTTCAGAGAGGGGGAGGGGCGCGACGGTCGAGACTCGAAATTCAAGGTGGACGTCTTGGAGGGGGAGGGACCGGAGGGTGACAGCGTAAAGGCAGGTTTGTGGCGCCAGGGATGCGAATGAGAGAGCCGAAGAATCGACGAGGCCGATAGGGCCAGAGCGGATTCCGAGGGAGTTGTGAGGATTTCCGTACGGATACCATGTTTGACATATCGTGACATGCAAATGATAATCGCAGTGGAGCGTTGCTCGATTTCCCCTAGACTTCGGCGGGTTGGCGACATGGACAGGTCAGTAAGGAACAGATCCGTAATGACGGGACATTTGCAATGGAAGCATTGGACCCAGTCATGGAAGGCGTGTAGAAAATTGTGTAACTCGCTTGGACAAGAGAACGGGATCGAGAAACAATGTGGCACATCCATGATACCTACCCCCAGGGCCCTGACGGTTCTAGGATGGACCGTTTGGGACCGCAGGCCCGGGGAGAACAGGGGACGGGGCGTGTTTGGGTTGTAATTGTATCAACATGATGAAATGACTTGGGAGTATGCACAAGTTACAACTCGTGAGGTGGAAACTTGGTAAGTTCGAGGGACAAAATACTGTGCCACCTTATGGAAAAAGGAACCGGCCTCCGCCGCACTTGAGAATCCAAACCCACCTGGAGGTTGGAGAAGGGGAGGAGGTACGGATGGAAGGTGGCAGTAGCACTGGCACCAGCGTCAGTTTCTATCCCTCATTTTTCTACGGATAGTAAGGTACGGAGGGAGTACTTGCAACTTGCAAGAGCACATGAAAACCCTTGACGAATCTCTGCAGTGCAAATCTATCTCAGCGCAACAGGGACTCTGACGGACATAATAATACCTAACTACTAGGTACCTGATTGAGCAAGGGGTCTAGAGGAGTCAGAGCAGAGTTGGAAAATTTTTCTCAGCCGTATCAGAAAGCGGGAGGCAACCTCAATTTCCAAAAGCGAAAAGGCCAAGGGAAAAGAAAGCAAACAGTTGGGTCAGAATGGCAACATAAAAAATAAGAAAAAAAAGGAAAAAGGGGGGGGGGGGGGGGGGGGACGAAAAGGGATGAGACTCATGAGAGAAAGGAGGGGGAGGGGCACACTTGTGACTATCCATGGACCAAACTGGCACATTGGCCAGCAGCATCGAGAGTCGAGACAACGACGTCGACATCATCTCGTTTGGCGAAGATCGCGGGAGCGCTTCCGTGGTCCGCGATGGAGCCGTGGGTCGGTTGTCGCCTTTCTCATTCCACTTGTTGATTATGCCCAAATCCAATACTCCGTACTCCGTGTTGTGGTCTGTGTTGCGCATAGCGGCATGGCATGGCTGGTCATGCTTCGTATCATTTCAGATCGTCTCGTCGTCTCCTTTTCCATCTGCTGCCGGCGACCACGACCAGAGCCCTGTCTCTGGAGCCCTCTCTTTCCGCTTGTTAGTCGACTAATGTAAACAGTGGGAGATTGACCCGCTTGCCCGGATGCTTGTTGCAGGTCAACCGTCTGGCAGTCGAGCAAAAAACTGCTCCCAAGGACCCAAGGACCCAAGCAGGGCTATTGAGCATCTTGCAGCAAAACAAGTCCCGACCGCTTCAGACCTGACTGACCGCCTTTGAGGAATGAAAGAAACGAAGAAGCGGTCGGGCATTTGGCATCCCGAGTGATAGTGTAAGTGGCTCTCTCTCTCTCTCTCTCTCTCTCTCTCTCTCTCTCTCTCTTTCTTTCATAGCCATGGGCCTTTCAACAGACGTAGACGTGTCTACGGACAGGTGACCGTAGGCTTGTCTCATCAAAATGATGATTCAGGTGCATCCCAAATCGAACTGCAAGAAAATGCGTCCCGCTCTCTCGGCCGGGTACTAATTCGCGGTACGCACGCGGCAGCGGTGCGGGTGCGGGAAGCGGTACGGGTTGACGGGTATCCCAAACGCAAGTCTAGCCCAGCCAGCCCAGCGCAGTGGTTCAATTTTCTGTCATTCCTGTTTTATGCTCCCAGCGCGTCTGATTGCGTTTTGTCTCGATCGTGGTGATTGGTCAATGCAAGCCGAGCAGACGCGGCGCGTGAAGGCCGCGTTCTCGAACCACGTTTGAAATGGTGCAAGACCCACACGAACGCCGTGGTCCGTGGAATTGGCCGTTTGGCGTTTGCTCATCCAGCCGTGTGCCAGCATCCACCCACTTCAGACCTGCGACGGGCCCCGTATGGATAGTGTACTCCGTAGAACCGTTTTCCCACATCCGGGATGCGAACACCAGCAACAGGTGCATGTGAGCTGCAGCCTGAGACCCGCGGCGAGCAGATGCGAGAAGAACGGCGGGGCGGCCTTGGTGTGGGACTGGGAGGATGTCTTAGTGCACATATTGGAACACATCCTCAGCTACTCCCTGCTGGTTCCCACAAAGTGCACGTGTATTGGACCGCGTACTTGCGCTTGAGCTCCTGCACGACGGAGGTACACAGGGATACCTCTGCTCACCGCCGTGAGTGACAGGATGGGTCTCTGTCCACGGGAACAAGCATGTATTCCGCCGGCGCGCGTTAGTGCAGCTTGTCGAGACACGTATCATCCGAGTACCGGATGCACCCTGGCTGCGCTCATGTACCGTCCGGGGACCGGGAGACGGGGTCTCTGCCCATTGGCTCGAGGTAGGGGATGCCCGGTAGGAATTTGTTGCTAATCCCAACTTGTCCGTTGAGCATCCCATCCATCCCATCCCATCCCGTTGGACGGTTTTTGCCAGCTAGGTAGGTACCCTCGAAACCTTGGCCAGCACGACCAGCTGCCGGCTTCATATGGCGCGGATAGAGCCTAGGCAAGTACTGATTAGCAGCTGTCCGTACGTATAGGCATTATGGTTCTGTACGAATATCGCTAACCTGTACGTGATATGAGTTAGAGTGTTATTGCAAGACGGTTCAATGACACAAACAGTGATAGAGGGGGAGGGGCCGATGACCAGCTAGGTGGGGGGTTTGTCATACTGATGAGGGGTGCTCTGAGGAGTCGGAGACACGGGAAGGGATGTTAGAATCATTGGATTCTGGAAGCTGTGCGAGGCTTCTTCGCCAGCCAGGCCCTTCGCGGCTCGCCCTGGTTCACATCCTCCCTTTCAAGTTCCGGAGCCGGGGCGAAATTGCCAACCAAATAGGCGGTCCGGGTTCTAGCGAGGCTAGGCCTGGAGGGGCAGCGAGCTGCTGGGAGTTGAAGCTGTTCGTAACTGCAATTTCTTTTCCACGTTGCCTCTCCTCAAGACTCGGGTTCTTGCGCGACGGTAATCTGCGAACTTCTCTCGGTAGCCACCTCGGCGACGTCAGTGCTCGTTAGCATCCGCCTTCCTATTATTGTGTAGGCAAGGCATGTTGTTTCGCTTGATCCAGAAGCAAGTAATGATGAACCAGAACAACATAGTCATGTCATGGCCTAGTATGGAGATGATGCATGCAACTGGGGACTCGAAGCGACTAGTCGTCTGTCATCTTGCTTTGAGCAACAATGTCATGTCGTTGCATGCCTTATTATTAGTAAGGTGAGCGAGCTATGGGACGGGACGAACTGGTGAAGCGGGTACCATGCATATCTTGACTTACCTTACCTCTCAGCTGCCCCGACTTGCGTCTCTCACCGCACACCTCTCATCATCTCATCTTTCCTCTTTTTCCTTCTGGCTGGACTGGCCTGAAGCCTAGAGTCTCTGGAGTCCTGGACAGCTCAATGATGATGACCCAACCGGCCACATCATCGTCCCTGGATGATTCCCATCACCAAGCCCAAGGCACTTGAGACCAGCACATCAGTGCTTGCCTTAGCGTCGCGTACCACTGCCTTGGTCCAGTCCACCCCGAATGGGACCCTCCCCTAAATAGCCCGGAAGGCCAGCGCCGCCTGCCATTAGCCCGTGTGCCGTCGTCGTGTATAGTGCACTATATGTGTGTCTTCGTAGGTGCTCGACCGTCGACAGGCTCTTTGCCACGGGCTCACGCCCCCCCTGGGCGTCTTGACGCACCCCAGCAAATATCCTTGAAGCGTCCCATAACCCGGCCATCCGCCCTCTGGCTTTCCCTGCCATGTTTCTGTGGGCACTGGGCACCGGGTTTGTGATGTCTGGAAGTGGCTAGTTGTGTTCCGGACGGATCGGGTACGTGCCAGGCCTTGCAAATATCGTGCGCTCCATTTCACCATGCCGCGGCACAAAATTTGAGCGCTGTGGCTACGGTTGGGATGATGACAATGGCGGGACGAATAGTTGATACTTCGTGCAGTGGTATGGCACACTGCGCGAGCTCAAGTATCTTCTTGAAGTTCTTGGGCTGTTGATGGCTTGATGCCTCTGTGCTTGAAGCAATCCATCCTCGTGGTTGCTAAATGTAGACATACAGATCGTTAGCGGCCGCGAGAGAAAGCTGAGCCCCCCGGTCTGGCGACAAAATTTTACTGGCAATCCCTGAATCCTGTAAAAGTGCCATGTCGCGTCGTGTTCGCAAAGGGGCCAACCGATACGGATAGACAGTGATGACTGGACACTACGGATGCGCTGTCCAGCGGGATGGTGAAGTGAGCGTCAGTATCCGTACGAATAGAGCAGAATCGTTCTCCCTCTCGAGCTCGAGTGGTTGGTATTTGCCCCGATCCGTTCGTTTGTCTCTTGACCCCTAAGATTGTCTTGGATGGCGATGGCGATGGTGATGGCGAGCCGCGACACACGACCCAGTCAGATTCCTCGCCTCTTATGTGTCAGACGAGATGAGGGTACTATACGGATACAATGATGCATACCTCCATGGTTCTGAGAAATTTGATGGAGATTGGACAAAGGCAAACGTTTTAATTGCGCTGGCTAGTTGGATGGATCGTGGAGCTGGCTCGGAGGTTTGGTGACTTTGGTCCTCGGTCATGAATATGATGTGGCGAGGTGTAGGTAATGTAATGCTATGGAATACTTTTAGACTCCCGTCGACTCGTGCTGTAATTGAATTGAGACATTTGAAGGCTGAATAAGAAGCTGAAGCTGGATGTTGGAGCTGAAGTTGGATGCCCTGCGTGATGCAGAGTGGCAGAGAATGAAAGTGTTTCCAGAAGTATCTTGTGGGGAAATTCACGGTTGAGAGTGACTTCGAAGTGGGATCGTCGGTGCCTGCTTACATAGCTCCAGCCCTCCCTTCCCGTTCCCTACCAGTCTATCCGTAATAGGGGAGGTAGCTAAAAAAGAAAAAAAGAAAAAAAAGAAGAAAAAAAGAGTGTTTGCATTCCGCCTCTGACATAACAGCACACCAGGCACTTGGGGGATTACAGGTAGAAAGACGTAAGTATGGAGCCAGGAATGGCTAACCGACCTGAACCTTACCTCTCGTCATCTGCTATGAAAGGGAGGAGGACAGCCTGGACAGGGTACCTTGTGGAGTACGTACCTCCTTCCCTGCTCGGAGTGGTTTTATTTTTGTGGACAGCATGCGTGTGCAGCGTG